TCACACTCACACACTCACACTCACACACACACACACTCACACACTCACACACACCCACACACACACTCACTCACTCACATACACACACACACTCACACTCTCTCACACACACACTCACTCTCACTCACTCACTCACTCACACACACACACACACTCACACACACAGAAGTACTGTTTCTGATCTTGAAATGTTCCTTGAATAACTAACTCCATGTGTGTTTTCTCTGACAGGTTCAAACTCCTCTTGAACAAGAGATTTTCAGACTCTTGCACATCAACAGCCAGCCTGTCGATGACCCTGTTTTGACTCCTGTAGAGGAGCAATCACTTAAAGCCATGAGCTTGGAGGAGGTATGACTCTCATAAAGCTTCTGTTCTATTGCCTTGGAGGTTTACAGCCGTTTTTGTGACATTAAGTTATTAATGGTTACAGAGCAATGTTGCTACATTAATTTAGTGAGTCACGCCTCATGGGTCCTGCCATGTTAACGTCACATGGCATCACATGAGTTACTCTTACTACTGCTGCTAATGCTCCATGTAACACTTTCAGTCAAGGTGCAGAACTTCATAGGATGCATGCTCATGGTGCATAAACAGAAAAAAACAAGCAACTTGAGAAAATGCATGACTTACTAGCCAACCCTGTTTAGCTCCAGCCTTAATCAAACACACCTGAACCAGCTAATCAAGGCGTTAAGGTTAAGGATTGTTTGAAAATAGCAAGTGTTTTGGAGCATGTTGGAACTGAAACTATTGTGTCAAAATGTATCACCGCCATTAAATACAGGGTTCCCGCGGGTCCTTAAAAAGTCTTCAATTTAGTTTTATCAAATTTAAGTCCATAAAAGCCTTAAATATCTCAAATGGCACAAGAAAAGTCTTAATAACAATTCAAGAGGTGTTCGATTTGGGGATGGAAAGACAAGAATGGATGATTATGGATTAATGTGAGGATTAAACTTAAAAAGACTATGATTTTATGGAATAAATATGAGCGCTGCAGGATTCAAAGATAAAACGAGGCGCTGGTGATTTTACAGTATATGAATGTATCGCTGAAGGAAAAAGCTATAACGTTTATGAGCGCAGTGCTGCTTTGATTACAGTGTTACTGTGGAAACCGCTGTATTTCTGACGCCACAGGCGCCTCCTGCTGGCTGAGAATGAATGTGCGTTTTCAATAAGCCTGTCTGCAGTTTTTGTTCAGACCAATGCGAAAATCCACCCATGTTTTTACACAGCAAAGTTGTAAATGTGAAAGAAGATAATGTGCTTTCTAAAAATCTAAACAAGATTTTATGGAATAAATATGAGCGCTGCAGGATTCAAAGATAAAACGAGGCGCTGGTGATTTTACAGTATATGAATGTATCGCTGAAGGAAAAAGCTATAACGTTTATGAGCGCAGTGCTGCTTTGATTACAGTGTTACTGTGGAAACCGCTGTATTTCTGACGCCACAGGCGCCTCCTGCTGGCTGAGAATGAATGTGCGTTTTCAATAAGCCTGTCTGCAGTTTTTGTTCAGACCAATGCGAAAATCCACCCATGTTTTTACGCAGCAAAGTTGTAAATGTGAAAGATAATGTGCTTTCTAAAAATCTAAACAATTAAGATAAGCAAGATATTTTAATACAATAATTTATAGCCTGCATTTGACTCATCGCCTTTAAAAAGAAAAAAAAATGGTTTAAAGGCTGAAATGTGATGTTTATCATTTAAGACTTTGTGTTTTGTGAAAACCTGTATCTGAACTCTAAATCATATAATTTTATGGTTTAATATGTTACCATAGACGTTACCCTTCCCGCTAATATTAATTTTATTTGTGCAGGTCTTAAAAAGGGTCATAAAGTCTTGAATTTGAATTTTAAAAATCCTACAGATACCCTGTAAATAGTGAAATAAAATTCCTTCCTTGATATTTGTGTTTTGAAAATGTTTTTTGATTGATGATTCTCAATGGAGAAAAAATAGATAAAAAGGAAAAATGAATGATAAATACAGCTTTAGTGTGAAGTGTTACAAACTTTATGTAATGTATGTGACCATTTTGTTAAATTTAACATGCATTTCTTTAGTGTTTGGTACGTGTCTCTTTTGCTTTAATGACAGTATGTACTTGTGCTGGCATGGACTCCACAAAGCCGTTTCTCAGTGCCATTCTCATGCTATAATCAATTAATGTTACTCACAGTGAGATGGTGTGGCGATGAAGTTTGTTTTGATTGGTGTTCATTCTATAATTAAGCCATTTGGGATGATGCTGTTATTCGAAGTAAATCTGAAATCCACATTTTAGAGCAGGATACTGTTGATATGATATGGTTCCAAATTAATGCTTATGATTGGTCACCAAGCAGCACATTAATTATTCTATCTTTATTATTAGTTTTCATTTTTAATCAGTTTTTTTTTTTGTATTCTGCTTTGTGACTATTTGTTTTGCGTGGCAGGCTAAGATTCGTCGCGCTGAGCTTCAAAAGGCAAGAGCGCTCCAGTCGTACTATGAGGCAAAAGCCAAAAGAGAAAAGAAAATCAAGAGCAAAAAGTGAGTTCTACAACTGAACATTTCTGTCAACTATTTGTTAGTCTTTCTTTTATCTTAAGTGCGAAATGCATCTTCCTCAGGTACCACAAGGTTCAGAGGAAAGCCAAGTGTAAGGATTTCCTGAAGCAGTTTGATGAAATGGTAAAGACGAATCCTGAAGGAGCTCTGGAAGAGCTAAAAAAGATGGAGCTGTCCAGGATGGAGGTGCGTGGTGAACTGTAGAGACTGTGTGGAAAGAAAGATTATGAATAAGTGAGAATTATTTGGGCGTAAATATATTTTTCCGTGTTTTCTCTGCAGGAGAGGATGTCTCTGAAACATCAGAACAGTGGCAAGTGGGCAAAATCAAAGGCCATTATGGCTAAATATGATGATTCGGTGAGAGTGTTTGATGTTTTTGATAGCGGAATGAGACTGAAAATGTTATTTATGGTTCCTGTTCTTAGTCATCAGTTTTATTACCATAATAAACAGTGACATTTGAGTGTCTCCCATGCTCTTCAGGCACGCAAAGCAATGCAGGAGCAGCTGCAGATGAATAAAGATCTTACCCAGAAGATCGTGGTGCCCTCTGATGACGAACATGAAAGTAACGAGGAAGGCTTGGAGACTATTCCTGATTTTGTGAACGACTCTGAGCCAGTCATTGACTCTGTCAACCCCTGGATGAGAGGCCAGCTTACACATGAAGAGCCTGAGGTCAGCTGTGTCACAACTGAGGATGTGCAAACCGCAGAAGAGGAGAATGAGGAAGAGGAACTCGTTGGAGAATTTGAGAGGAAGAGGAAGCTGAGGCAAGCTGATGAAGAGGACTTGATTCCTACAGAAGAAGAGCGTAAGAGAGCAGGCTTAAAGAAAATACGTACGATTCTGCAATTGTTTGCTCACCCTCGTGTCATTCTCAAACTGATGATTTACTTTTTTGCCATGGAACACAAAAGGAAAGATTTTCTATAATGTCCAAACTAGGGATGAGTGATATAATATATTGAGATTAGGGCTGTCACTAACGATTATTTTGGTAATCGAGTAATAAGTCGCTTATTCTGACGATTAATCGAGCAATCGGGTAATTGTGTGGTATTAAAAATAGAAGCGAACAATAGACTTTAAAATGTCATAATAGCAATGAGGCGATAATAATTGGTTCAAATAAAATATAAAAAGTAATCATATGGTTTTATTTAGGGCTGCGCGATTAATCAAAATCGTGATTTGGCTTGATGTGATTATTGAATCTCAAAGGCTGCGATTTTTAATTAAATATATGCACAGCGCCAGTAGTAAATGCTGCTCATCTCACCCCCGAGATGGCTTGAACACAGATAAACCATATATTGTCGTAGGTTTATTGTCTTCAATCAGTTCAGGTGTTTCTATCTTCTTTTAATTCAGTCACATCGATAGCTAGATACCTTTGTCCATATTAGGGATTTCCTGGAACGTCATGTGTTCTATTACTTCTGTGATGCATTTGTGGAGTTTCTGCGCGAGGGAAAAATAATACTTCTTTCTAAAGAAATTTGAAGTAAACATGATAATCCATGTTTTTATCCAGTGTATAGAAGTGTACAGGAGTTTGTTTTTCTTTCCCCACAGTGGATGTATAAAAGACTCATATTTCATATTAAAGACATGGACACCATTTTTGATTTTACATACTTCCTGATAAAAATTAAGAAATTACTGTCAAATATTTGTTATCATAACAGTATCATATGATGTACAGTTATAGGCCTGTATGTTAACAAGTAACCTTGCAGTTTTCTGTAAAATAAAATTAGTATTGTTATTATTTTATCAATTTTGATCTAATTATTATATAATTTTTTATTAATAATTAAATTTTAAATCGCAATTTTAACCAGAAAAATCGCAATTTGATTTTTTCCCCAAATCGTGCAGCCATAGTTTTATTGAACAAAACTGTTAAAATGCATAATGTAATAAAACAATATAATCGTAACTTATGTATATTATGCATATATAAAATGCCTGCAGAGGGTGCCAATGGCCGGATCGGTTATCAGTCAGACGACCGTCTACTATTCTGTGTTATTGTTAAGTTCCACGAAAGGCACAAACACATTATAAAGCACCATAACGTTTCCATGCACTATATTCCAAGAGTTCTGAAGCCGTTCCATAGTTTAATGTGAGGTTCTGATGAATATTTAAGTCGTTAGTAAACTCTTCTCTCCGCTGCGGCTGTCAGTCTTCCTCCATTTGGCATTCAAACTGTGTGTTTATAATAGTCTGCCTTCATCTGTTAATTGACCTTCAGTCTCCTTTATTATTGTTAAATGTGCAATACAGAGCAATCAACAGAAGTTGGTACACCTGTCGGAATTTGCATCTGTTTTTAATAACTCATTTACGACCGCCAAATCAGAATTCTCTCATTTATTCATTCTCATGGACTTGAGCTGCATAATGAAGTGTATGTGGTGATTCTCATCCAAACTAGTTTCTGGTATTTTTTTTACAGAACCTGCAAGCGAGGTGGTTGAAGAAGATGTGGTTGAGGTTTCTGACAAAGAGGAGGAGGATGATGATGATGATGATGAAGAAGAAGAAGAAGAGGACGTTTCAGAGTTTAACACCCTTTTCAGGCTCATGAGGAGCGAGAAGACACTTGAGGGTTCAAATCAGACACGAGAAGGGTTGAACACACCCGGGCAAGAAGATGAAGAGGGACTTTTGAATGAAGGACAGATTCGAGTCAGGAATATAGAGGACCTGGAGGTTTTAGGCGAGTTTGTCGACCCCCAACCCATTGCGGAGCCGTCACTGCCACGAACCGCTGCTGTGGAGGCCACTTCTGAGCCACCTTATAAAAAGAAAAGGGAAATCGACCTCAAAGAAGTACTCACCAAAGAAGCCAAAGCCGTCAAAGTTCCCTTTTTGCCAACAGTTGTTGATGAGGAAGTGAGTTGAATTTTAAATTAAGTGTAACCAATAGACCTTAGTGAGGGTAAACACCACGGCTGCATCCAAAATCACATACTCATTTAAGTAGGTACTTCTCTTGAATAAGTAATTACTTCACGTCCACTAAAAAAAAGTATGTTTTATATAGTATGATCTGTTGTGTTGCTTCACAAGTCTTAATGGGTTAGTAAAGTGTCCGTCGGATGCACGCTTCAGAATCTTGCTGCTGGAGATAGAAAGTCATCTGAATACTTTTCGTCTACTGTTGTATGAAAACCGTGATTTTGAACGTACCACATACCGTTTTTCGCCTACTATGTAGTAGGGAAGTTTGCGATTTCGGATGCAGCCCATATGTAAAGACTGTCAGATATAGATGTACAGTGTGTTTGCTTGTGGAAATTAGACCTGTAATATTCTGAAAAACCCACTGAACAGAATTGCCAGCCCTGACTAAGATCTTTCTCTGTTAACTTTGGCATTTAGGGCCATATTTTAACGATCTAAGCACATGGCGCAAGTGCACTTAGTGCGTGTCCGAATCCACTTTTGCTAGTTTAACGATGGGAAAAATGGTCGGCGTGCATGGTCTAAAAGGGTTGTGCCTATTCTCTTAATGAGTCGTGGGTGTGTTTTGGGCGTAACGTGCCGTAAACCAATCAGAGACTCATCTCTCATTCCCTTTAAAAGCCAGTTGCGCTTGTGCCATGGCGAATTCGCTATTTACACGGCGGAATTTGCAAAAACTGTATGCTTCTCCAGAGAGGAACAGTTCTGCTCTGACTATCTACGGGGCACAATAATAATCTTTTACATTGTAATCCTTTAATTTTTAATATTTGGCATGTTTGTGCGCTGCCCTTTGTGTGTAATAAGCATGCGCATTGTTCACCCGCCTATAGGCACATATTACTAACGCACCCTTTAACCCGTTAACTGTCACTGGCCCACTGAAAAATCGGTAAAAAAAAAAAGTTTTGAATATAAAGAAAAAAACAATAGATTCTCTATTTTTGATGCAGTGTGAACTGTAACATAGGTATAAGGTTCTCGTCGCATGTCTTTTGTGTTTTTTAGAGGTTGAATTGAAATCAAATTCTGCCATACTGCCCTTAATACTTCTGATTGTGATGTCTGCTTCATAATTATTGAGAAAAGTATGGAAAAACATGTTTCAGATCACCGTCAAACCGTATATGGAAATGGAGGTGCCTTTATATGGTTCCTAATGGGGTTTGTGCCATACTGCCCTTAATACTTCTGATTGTGATGTCTACTTCATAATTATTGAGAAAAGTATGGAAAAACGTGTTTCAGATCACTCAAACCGTATATGGAAATGGAGGTGCCTTTATATGGTTACTAATGGGGTTTGATGGTCATCTAGTGGAAAAGCTTGGTACTGCGTCCAAACAAAATCTCACCGAAAGCTCATTTTTTGAGATATCAACCTCAAATTTGGAACACAACGTGTTCATATTTTTGGTTTTTATTTTCTAGCAGTTTTAGAGTAAAATGTTTTGTAATATGTATTTTATATCAAATAAACATATTTTAATTTAACTATTTTAACTTAAACTTCCATAACTTTTTTTGTAATATCATTTTTATAACTTTTTTCACTTCTACAATAATCTGCACAGTGTCTTCTTTAAAAAGAGACCGACCTTAAGTCGGTGCTCCACTGCATTCACAATTTATAACAATTTAAGTAGGAAATGTCATTTTCAGGTCTATGCTCAAAAAGTGGAACCGACAGTTAACGGGTTAAATAAATAAAAAAAATATTACACCATTGACTTTAGACCAGGTTTCAGCTGGTCAAAGGCGCAGTCTATTCCAGTTGCCTCAAAATAGAAATGCGCCTGAACACACCTCGTTTTCAGACCAGCACGCCCTTCGGCGCACAAATGCATTTGCTGTTTAAACGACGTGGCGCAGGGCGTGAAAATGATAACTGCGTCCGGCTGAAACGAGCAAAAAACACTTGCGGCGCGCCGGGTGTATGATAGCGAGCTAAGTTTTTGAGTTGTATGCTGCATTTTCCTGTATTTAAAATGTTTTCCCTTTTTTATTTTAGGAGCGTGATGAACAGATCTCCATCATCAAGGAGGCGTTTGCTGGCGATGATGTAATTTCTGATTTCATAAAGGACAAAAGCAAACTGGAAGCTGCTGGGAGGCCTGAAGTGGTGGACCTGACTCTGCCAGGCTGGGGAGAATGGGGAGGAGTTGGTCTCAAACCCTCCCGCTGGAAACGCAAAAGGTAATGCTATTAAATCATTCTTATCTTTAACTTTCAAAACATTTCCTGTCCTTTCCCCAGAATTTTTAAAATGTTTTCCCTTTTTTATTGTAGGAGCGTGATGAACAGATCTCCATCATCAAGGAGGCGTTTGCTGGCGATGATGTAATTTCTGATTTCATAAAGGACAAAAGCAAACTGGAAGCTGCTGGGAGGCCTGAAGTGGTGGACCTGACTCTGCCAGGCTGGGGAGAATGGGGAGGAGTTGGTCTCAAACCCTCCCGCTGGAAACGCAAAAGGTAATGCTATTAAATCATTCTTATCTTTAACTTTCAAAACATTTCCTGTCCTTTCCCCAGAATTTTTCTCTCTCCTATACTAGCTTAACGTTCTATCTAGTCATTTGTAATTAAAATGTTTTAAAGAAAATAAGTAGCACTTCTGAGATTGTGTAAAGTGGTGCTCACTTGAAATGAAGAATCATTTGCACAAAGACTTGGATTTACTAACAGCTTGTGCCGCTACAAACCTGGCTGTGATAGTTGCTTGTAGTATACTGCGTTAGTCATTACGTAAATGATCTGGTTGTGTCTGTTCGTTAGTTGTGCGATGTCAGAAGATCAGCTGCAGAAATTTCCACTACCGTCACTTTTATGGGATTTCAGTCTCAAGCTCATTTTCGCTGTTTAGTGAATCTGGCCCTTCATGTTTTCTTTTGCATGGAGCATACGTTCATGTGCTCTTGATTTGATATCAATTCTTTTGAAAATACTTCAAATCTGTTTTTCTTTCTCCTAACACTGTAACAGGAAGCACTCTTACTTGGTAGCGAGTTCCGCCTTAAGTTGACAAGTTTTTTTTTTTGCACAGCAATCTAACCGTGTATGCACATCCTCAGCTCAAAGCCTTATCATAGCACTAATGGTTAATTTGTCTCTGTAGATTTAGGATAAAAACGGCCCCACCTCCTCCACGGCAAGACCAGAAACTGCCTGATGTCATCATATCGGAGAACAGAAATGCATCAGTCGCTTCTCATCAGGTAACCAATCGTCTGGCAACACTCAAAAGTAGCTGAGTTCTATGAAATCTATATGAATTTGAGTATGAGAATCTCTTTCGCTCATGAATGCGTCGAATTCCTGATTTTGGGACGAGATGCTAAACAAAATAGAATGGAAGTTTTTGTTGAACCAGCTAAATTAATTTACATTTTTTTTTTTTTTTTTTTTGGAGTGATGGAAACAAGTGACAGACGTTTCTCATAAACTGAAAGGAAGCCCAACACTGCGTCTCTCTAATTATTATTCTTGTTTTTTTCATAGGTTAGTCAGCTGCCGTTCCCTTTTCAAAACACTGCACAGTTTGAGTCTTCCATCCGTACGCCTATCGGCCCGACATGGAACACACAAAGTGTTGTGAAGAATATGACGAAACCCAAAGTTATCACTAAAATGGGTGCAATCATTGAGCCTATGGTCAAAGAGGACTTCATAAAGAATAAGACCACAACACCAGGGGGTAAAGGACCAGCAATCATGCTGGGAGAAAACAAACGGGCAAAAGAGGGCACAAAGCGGTCATCGGAAAAGCATCGAGGAAGAAGATCGCAGAAGAGGAGAAAGTAACAGGCATGAACGATCGTGTGGCTTCAGTCACTGCATAAATAGATTTTATTTGTGAAGTGTTTGAAGAAGACATCTCTCTAATAAATTACCAAATTAACTTTTTGGAATTCCTTTTATGTCCTCATACATCAATTTGTATTTAGCAGAATACCTATAATGAGTAATAGATGAGTTTGCTTTCTTAAATGAAGAGTAGTTACCTTGTTTTTCTGTTCAAGTGCCCTAAAAAAATAAATTTTAAAATCTATTTTGTTGCAAATTTGTTTTTTTATCGTCGTCTTGCTTGAATGTCTTTTAAATGTTTCAACATGATTAAATGGCGTCAATACTCGTTCAAGTGTTTAAAGCTGAGCATGGCAATATTACACAAACTAAGCTGCACTGGACTGTGTGTTGTGTTGAGCTGAGAGTGTAGGCTATTACACTCTTGTTGCACTGTAAAAATATTGTTAAATTTACAGTAAAAAAATGTAAATAAAGTAGCTGTGGTTGCTAGAAATTGGCCATTAAAAAAAAAGTGTTGACCATGTTTTTGGTATTATGGGGTTGCATGTTAGTTCCTGTGCCTTTTGCTTATAACAGTGTTTTTGTATTGATTTTTTTTATTAATATTTTACATAATATAGCCATTTAAAAAAAAGAATGAAAAAACAAAAATGTTCTCCCCACCCACACTGCGTAGTTATTATACATTATATTATGCACACTCTTAATCTGTTCTAAAATAAATAAAGGAGGGAAAGAAAGGGAAAAAATGACAATAGCAAGATCAAACAGCAAATGTTACATTTGTATCCATTTGCTCTATGTACTGTATGTCAGCACTGGATGCCAAATAGAGAAAAAAGTTTGGCAGAGCACCGAATCTTCTCTAGTGCAAGATGATGCATAAGATCCCTAATCCAGTGACTGAAAGTAGGTGGAGATTTGTCCTTCCACTTACACAAAATAAGACTTCTGGCTATTAAAGTTGAAAAAGAGAGCATATTCTTTGTATTGTTATCGAAGCAGAGTTCTGTAGTTAAATCAAATATTGCAAAAACAGGAGAAGGATTAATAGATAAATACAGAACTCCTGAAAGAAAACTAAATATTAATCGCTAGAAATTAAACTTAGAACAGGACCAAAATTAGCTGTTTTTGTATTGATTTTAATATTGATAAATTATGTTTTACTTAACATAACTTAACATTCAAAATGTTTTTTACCTTAAAATATGGGTGGTACAATAGAAAATGACATGATGTGTTGGACTTCATCTTAAGAGGACTGTGCATAAAACATGGCAAATACTCTAATATAGATGGTGCACATTGTGATACACACAAGACAAAACACCATACATGACATACATGACAAGTAAATGCAATAGCACACAATAGGGCTAAAGGCGAGCCTTGAGGGAAATCTGACTTTCATTACTCCCATAGTGTATATTTTGTGGGAAAAGAAGTCAATAATATGATGGTTTGTTTAAAAATCATGTTAATGTATGAGGTGAGAGGTGGGCCTTTTACCCCGATTATCACGTTTTGATAATTTACTTTGTTCAATAAGCTATAGCTTCATTGCAATGTTCATTTTAAAAAATACAAAATTTAAATAAAAAAATTCTGAAAGCTGCTTAAACTGCTTGATGGAGATCCTATAATATGGCAGTAGTAACAATATATGTATTATATGATATGGTTAATATCATAAATTGAAATATAATGATTTCATTATAAATATGGTAGTTATCTCTTACGTTGGAAACCAAATTTAATAACTGATATTGACCATCTGAGTCTAACCATGTCATGTCAAGTTAGCCAGCTAGTATCACATCAATTATTGTACCTTTAGTCCCAAAAGCAGAGGTGCTTTTAAACCCAAAATACCATACCTGATATATTCTTCAGCTTTTGAAAAGCTGATTTTAAACTGAAAATCATTAACAAGACCTATGCTCAATAAAATTAAATACTGTGCTTTAATTTGTAGCATCAAGAAAAACAGGATGCCTTTTTAGCAAGAAACAAACCAAACCTCAGCATAGCTTACTTGTCTCACAGTTTAAGGTTTAAATGATGATCAACATAAAGAAAACATGAACTACACTTGTGTGAACACCTCAAAAAAATCACATCCACTCCACTCTAGGTTTGTGTGCGTTTTCTGATTAAAAAGCCTTTAACATAAGTTTCAGCGTTTAATATTTTATAAATGGCATTGCACAAAGCAAAAAAGGCTGTTTACCAAACACCCGATCTTATATGCCACCATCCAAACATTATAACAGTAGGATAGAGCATAAGTTGGGCGAAGAAAATGGACATTTTCTATGCTCCACTCATTTCCTTCCCGACAGAGGAGGTCTTTGTTTCTTTGTCCAGATCAATGACAGATTCCTGGAACTAAAGTTTGTTTCTCTTTTTGAAGACCGTCTCACCTGACACCACGTGAATACTTTATGCAGGGGAGGGGCAGTGTAGCGTGTTGGCATGAAATTCCCATTTTTTATGCAATTGTGACTCAGCAGATGCGCCTCTCAAAAGTCGCTTGTCCACTGCGAGATCTGGGAATGTGTGTGTAAGTTAGTTTGTTGCATTGTACGATTGCACATGAGCTGGCCTGTTTCAGGAATCATGGATGCTGTGTTTTGTGGGATTGTCATACTACAAGTTTTTACATCGGTTCTGTGCTTTCCAAGCGGGGCACCGGCTTCAGTTTGTGTGGATATGATGCCGAGGCATGAAGGGGTACAGCCCCAGCCAAACCCTGCTCCATACACCATCCAGCCAAGCAGCACAGCCTTCCAGACTGGCAACCCCATCACAGGTAGAGGATAAAGCTCATTTGGATGGGGTCACTACAGTTTTAGAAGAGACTTTTAGTAAATTAATTCATGCAGTTCTACATTCTTTTTTCCAAGATGTGCATGTCTGAATCCAAAGCTTACCGAATTCTTGCTAAACTGAGTGTAATTCATAATTGCATGCCAAGGAAAATCCTCTCAATCAAGAAATAAAAATGCGCTGTCCATAAATCTATTAGGAAACAAAACTTGGAGATTACTTTTTTTGTGTGTGTTATGTTTATTCTTGTTTTTAATTGCATCTTAAGACACCATTAGGTTTGTGACATTCAGGCCAAATTCTGGGAATATTTTAACTGCATTTATAACAATTATTTAGCCATTTAATTTAATGCATGTATATCACAAGTGCCTAAAATGAGGATAATTGTATCACTTGTTGTAACGTTTGTTCTCTTGTTGTTTGTCAGTTGTAATCAAAGGTCCTGACTATAGAGGCGTGCTCCTTGAGGCTCGCTCTGGATCTGACTCAAAAGCAATAGGATCCTGGCAGACACCTCCAAATAACACAAAGTTCTTAGAGGTGAGACTTTGGACTATTATGCTTTTATTTTACTGCAATATTTATATCTGAAATAATAAGATCAGATATGATTTAAATGATACAGAACCCCTTTTTATAATTTAGAAACATTAGATTAATTATGGAAGCTGCGATCCATAGTGAATTCTTCTTAGGGACTACACATATCTAGTCATTTTGTACACTCTAAAAAATGCTGGGTTAAATACAACCCAGTGCTGGGTAAAATAGGGACAAACCCAGCAATTGGGTTGTTTTGACCCAGCGGTTGGGTTAAATGTTTAACCCAACCTTCTGGGTAGTAACCCAACCGCTGGGTCAAAACAACCCAATTGCTGGGTTTGTCCCTATTTTACCCAGCACTGGGTTGTATTTAACCCAGCATTTTTTAGAGTGTAAGATTAAAATGCCTTTTTTTTCCATTCCTTGTTTTTGTTTTGGTAGTGTAACAAAACATTCAGAAATATGTCATTGGTACACCTGTTAGTAAATCACTGGCATTATAAATTTGGTAACTGTAGTCACTGTATATTTCCATCCACCTATTTTTATGCGCATTTTGGATTATCGCATAAAAAACCGCTGGATGGAAATTCCAAGATGCGCATACATTCTAAAAATGCGCATAAAAAAACGTATGCGCACAACTGAGTAGGATAAGGATTTCTTATCTTTATCCGATAAGAAAAAATGCGCATAAACTGCGACACATTTACTGAATAAATTCCACCATGCGCATTGAAAAAGTCATGTGTCTATATATTGTTTTGGTCGTTCTGAAAGGCCTGAGCAAAGTCTGTCATCAAAGTATTTCTGTATAATTACTGTCTCACACGACTGCGTTCCCAAACAGCAGCATCCACCTCTAAAAGCATTAACCGCATTTATCGTGTTACGTCTGCTCTCTCTGAAGCACAAGTCATTTATTACAAATGAAAAGTATTATATTCAGTGGCTTCTCCTAGTTTTCTTAGAGATATTTAGTGCCAGTTTATCAGGAAGTGACGGTTTTGTTCTCTTTGACTCGTTGGGTGGAAACGGTGCTTTATTCGCAAATGTTTCATGCGATATTCCAGTTAAGTTAAATTCGCATCTTTGGATGGAAACCTATCTTGAGGGTCATACACTTGTGTTCCCTAGTGTTCAGGAAACCAGCAAGGTGCCATCACCCATGCCAACACCAACATAAAAAACAACTCCACCGTCTACACCTGGATTCCACCAGCTACAGCGAAAAACATCGTCTTCGTGTAAGAGTGAACAAAAACCATCTCAAATTGATACCACATGACTGTGCTAGTTTGTGCAAAAGAGTCATTTGTATGCTAATACTGTTGTGCATTACAGATTAGAAGTTTTTTCTCCCAAGTAATCCAGAGAAATGATTAAAACACTTCAATATTTGTCCACTTCATCCTTAGGGCGACTGTAGCCCAGCAGCGCACTGTGTTCTGGGTACAAGTGACGTCCTCGACTTCAAGTGAGTAAATATGGAAATCTGGAATCCATTTTGTTTTATACTGTATATGTGACCCTAGACCACAAAACTAGTCATAAGTGTAAATTTTTCAAAATTGTGATAAAGAAAAGCTGAATAAATAAGCTTTCCATTGATGTATGGTTTGTTAGGATAGGACAATATTTGGCCGAGATACAACTATTTGAAAATCTGGAATCTGAGGGTGCAAGAAAATCAAAATATTGAGAAAATCATCTTTAAAGTTGTCCAAATTAAGTTCTTAGCAATGCATATTACTAATCAAAAATAAAGTTT